CAGAAGTCATTCGTGATCCTGAATAGATTCTGCTGCCAATGGATACCATAATCTGCGTCTAAGATTATAGAAAATGACTTTTTAACGCACGATTGCGAGGGTCTAATTCGAAATCCATGGTGTGCTTGTTACGGGACGTCACCTTAGGCGGTAATTATTGGGCTGACCTTAGCACGGTTAACCAGGGTGGATCTGCACTATCAAGACGTGGCTATGTAGCACTTGACGAGTTTCGCGATCGTGTAATGTTTGCGGTTCAGAAAAGGTCGCTGACTCGACTGCTGTTTGAACGCAATAGGTCATGACACGAGGTTCCGGTTCTTTAGCACGATGCAAAATGTTTCTTAGAGTTTACGTGCAAAGATGTCGGAAACGACGTCCAAGGATATAGATTAATAGATCAGTAGCATTCGGTGTACGGCGACTAACCTTAGCGGATATATGGAATGACTGAATTATATGGGAGTCATTATATATGCATCATTGATTCAAATGGCCTACAATAAGATAACACCGTTTTGTTTTTATGCTGCACTTTGTGTCATAAAAATTTTATAATTTGTGTTGTTTGTAAAATGTAGTAATAATATTAGTCCATACTCATTGACTTACAAATCCATACTACAAAAAATGTAAAAAACGTTTTTAAAGTACCTATTTAAAGCTTTTGATTGTACTGTAGCAGGCAGCTTAGGTTTTGTATTTGGAATTACATATTCAGCGATTCGTCAGGCCCCTGTCGCCTATAATAAAACTCTCGGGCGTATTCTATCTGTGAGGGAAAATCCTTTTTTAGCTTCTGTGCAATTACATCATACGTCGTGTATGAAGAAAAATATGTTTTGTACCATTGTAGACCTGGCCCCTCCAAATACAATGCAATCACGTATCTCTTTTGCACATCAGACCAATTATATAATACGCTGATCGCCTGAAATTGATTCAAAAACTCGTCTACGTCGTTGAATCCAGTAAATCTTTGTGCAATACAATACATATTTTCTTCTTTCACTTGTATCAATTATAAAACAATATTAAATAAGTAAAAATATAAACTACGACTCTATGTACGCTTTACTGGGAGTTTTTCGTAAAAACATATAAAATTCCGACCAGTTATTTATCACACTAATTGCCTCAAACTGGCCCAGAAACTCCTCCACATCATTTAGGCCCGAAAATTTTTATGATGTGTACGATTCATTGTATAGTTTTTTTACTTCTACCCCTATTCATTACGAAGCGCACAAAAACACAATAGCAAATTCACAATCAAAAATAAAAATGTATGTTTCGCCGAAGGTATATAATTCGGAAAGTGATATTTTTAAACGTGTTCGCGTAAGTGTTGCAGAGAATTTACAAGGCAAGTTTATGAAACGAGTAGCCTTGATAGATTCGCGTAAAGAATGTATAGGCAGTATACGATCGGAACAGAAGCGAAATTTTAATAAAAAAGATAGAGTTGCATTGATATCCAGGAGACTTGGTAATGTTATATTGTCCTAGGAGAGTTTCCAACAGAAGTGTAAAATTAGCTAGATTGTTTAAAGGGCCGTATAGGGTAGTAGATCGGTTGAGTAGAATTAATTATATTGTGAGATGAATAGGTGTAAATAGGAATAGTTCGGGTAGGCAGGATCTAGTGCATGTGAATAGAATGAAAAGGTTCTATAGTAGATAGTTTAATCTTTTTTAGTTTCTAGTAGGTTTGTTAATCTTTTGTGCTTGTTTTCATATGGAGCCACGATGACATTGTGACGAATATTTTGATGGAAGTTGTTATTTTCCGGCGAATGCAGACTTAGAAGTACGGGAGGAGAAGATGGACTACCGACTTGCATAGACATAACTTCCTTTTTTTTATTATTTAATGGGTATATTGTGCGGTGTGAGTGCATAGTTCGTGGTCACTCTCCCAGATGAACAAGAACTGTCTGCATTCAAGGAAAATATATTTGTTGGATTATTAGGAATCCTCCACATGATATATCGCCATATCATATGTGTGTTAGGAAATGTTGTTGTTAGGGTAATTTGTGTTTGTTCTGGTTTGTTTAGTGAGAAAGAAGAAAGTGAGAAAATCTGATGGAACGTGGATAGCTGCAGGATGAGGACTAAGGCAGCTGAGAGATCAATGTAGATGCTACCCGGTGATCGCCCGATGGGTGTTCAGGCCTGTGTCGTCGTCGTAGCAACGTGCACGTTGAAGATTGTTTAGATAGGACAGCTAATTAGTGAATATATTTGAATTGTTTGAATAGGGAGTGGTCATGGTCTGTCCTTTTTGACAGGTTTTTGGCAGATTGAAGCCATAGCCTCCTCAGTGGTTTTGTTCTTTGTTATGATATGTGATATAACAGCTTTCGGGCAGTGTGTGGCTAGCCTGTAGTAAAGGCTGATCACATTTGTAAGTGGCCTATCACGAGTAGGGTTCCAGATAGGGATGTTCACCCCTTCAATTGTGAGGAAGAGGGATGTATCAGGCAGCTTAGGTTTTGTATTTGGAATTATATAAATAATAGAGGGTTGATGTCAAACAGACATCTTAGGAATTCGAAACGAGATACCAAAATTGAATACATGTTACAATTATATTTATTCAGTTTTTTATAAAAGTACCTCTTTCAAAGCTATCTGAGTTACGCCTTCTATAGTACCAAGTGACAGGGCGAACAAGTTGTGCGCCTGGTGGTAACCGACACGCCTGTCCATAACAGTTACAGTGCCATTCATAGCCATAAATCGCAAAGATCTGGAGGGGACCTGCCACTGCCCCCGTCACTGTATGAAAAAGCGAAACGCACAGTGGTGTGAGGTCAGCTGCAAAAGTAGCTGTGGTAGAAGTTTTTCCCTAGATGAACTCTTTGACAAGGAGCTGCTGCTAAACTACTAACAGCACCACTGAAACAATAACAAAATGTTTTAGTAAATCAAAATAGAGCCAATCAATCAACGTCTAGTTATGTCATAGAATAATGCCAATATCATAATTCATAAGTATAAACATTGATATGCAAACCAAATGAAGATGAGAATAATAGGAAACGTATAAAATACAAGTTTATAAGGTCGATGATCTATGTACGTATTTTATGACATGCAAATAAGTAAGGGATTATAAAAACAATGCCATCAGAGACATCATTTACAATTTTAAAGCTCTATGTATCATTTGTATGAGGTAATTTTGCTGGTGAAATTACAGGCACATGGGACTTGTCATCTTGTCTCAGGATGACAGGCGCAGCGGTAGTTGGCTTCAGATCTTTGCGATTTAAAGAGCCGAGTGGCATTGCAACTGATCACTTGATATTATAAAAAAAAATACACAAACCTTTTTACATTAAATGAAAAACTTTTGATTACAGACCGTGACGTACCCCCATAGTGAGTAGCATTTAAGCTACTTGATAGACAAACAAAGTGTTGTTATACGGAAACCATAAGGCACAAATTACTAATACGACATTACAGCTTCATTAAACAACAAATAATGTAAAAATCAACGTTCATAAAGCAACATTATTAAAATATACAATAGGAAGTGTATAATGCTCTTTTAACACAATTTTAAGTCAAATTGAAGTAAATATTCGATTGTTGACCTCATCTTGCAAACGATGCCGCCATTGGATCGATAATGAGCTAATCGCATCGAGCCTTGCGGCTTGAATTAAACATTCTCCGATACATTTGAGGTACGACGATCGACCTCGGCGAAGGTCGCCGCAATCATGATGTTTGATGTTATAATTCTTCATCATCGACATGCAAATGTAACACGGTGTTATAGTGTAAAAAAAAATGCAATGGTTCCTCTTCTGTAGCATAAAACTTGTTGAGAGAAAAATCATCTTCTCTTAGTTTTGAAGTATAATCAGAGTACTGGGCTTTCGACTTAGCACCGTTTTCATCGCAAGCGGCAGAATTCAATTTAAATATTAAGTATCAAACTTAACATTACGTAACGTTAGCTTAACGTGATCTTGACCCTGTTTGTAGATATCATTTGATTTCGATGATAATGAGCCTTAACAAAATTACAGGCACATGGGACTTGTCAACTTATGTGTCAGGGTGACGGGCGCATTGGCACTGCCCCTCAGATCTTTGCGATTAAAGCTCTGAGTGGCACTGCAACTGTTATGGACTGGCATGTAGCTTACCATCAGGCGTACGACTTGTTCGTCCAGTCACTTGATATTATAAAAAAACAATATAGGAGAATTGGAAGAAACATTTGTCACAGGTATTTTATGCAAAGAGCCAGATGCCAAGGACGACTTCTACAACCTTTCGAGATAGGAAACTAAATTTCAGATTTTAATAGGATGCCTTAACAAGAGTTGTTTTGAACTACTTTGATTAGCTACGCTACTCGATATTTCGCTTCTGATACCACAGAGTAAATGCCAGGGTCAAATGAATTCGGCTGGGTTTGACTTCACGTCACACCCCCATACACCGGCATTGACATTTTATGCCGTTTTATCATTTAATAGTATCACTACCTCATACCTATATTCACTTTAGTTAATTTACTATTCTGTGTTCTTTGCTCTTTGTCTGTGTCAAAGTATTATTATTATTACCCTCCCAGACATAAAACTCGAACCACCTTTCATTTCCTTTTGGACTGTTGGTTTCACTCTTAGTTCTACAAGTGGGTCCATCAATCAGTGTTAAATGCCCTGAGATAAAAAGAAATTATTTATCAAAAACTATTAATGCGATTTTAAACTGGTAAACTGGGATTTAGTCATTCCAGAACCTCGCTGTTTAAAAATTTGAATTAATAAAACCGGGGAAACTCGTTCTTCGATATAACAATATTTTTGTATCCTACCTCTTTAAAAATATAAATTCAAGCTGGATCGAATTATGTATCTAGAAGCGTAACATTATAGTCAATCATATTTATTCATTAAAAACAACAAAGTTTATTACAAATATATTATAATGCATATAGTAGTAATACCTATATACAATTCCATTTTATTATTCCTCACTTGATAACAACCACATATTATCAACTTAAAAATAATCAAATTATTTATGTTTCAACTTAAAGCTATATTAATAAAAGTGCAAAAATCTTAACGAATACTGCTTGCTGTGTAATAAGCTACAATTTGTACTCAAGCTGGGAGATAGATGTCTCAATAAAGTTCTTTCTATTTCGATTCAGTCTTGTCCGTTCTGTTAACAGGGTTCACTTTGCAAGTTATTTTGTACGACTCGACCATTTTAACAGAATCTCGCACTAAGATAGTTGACCTGATTGTAAAGGAATGCGAGAAACATACAGATGCGTCGCATAATGACGTGTGGAAGCTAAGGTACAGCCGATAATGTGTCTTATCCGTTCTTTGTTTAAGTTTCATTTCCACTCGGCCGGGGAGTTTATTCCCTTTATGAGAACTGCCCACAAACTCAAAGTCATCTAAAGTTACGTCTTTATTGTTTTCGTCTCGAACGCAAACGTGCCAATTCTGCGGCGCCCCTGGAGTAAACTTCACATTCCTCGTGTCGGAGTCCAAACTAACATTAAAATATATAATCAAGTTGCCGCATTTTCTATTGACAAACAAGTCATTTTTGTACAATATCAAATTTTCAGGTTCAATGAACTTGGGGTCTGGAAGTCGTACTTTGAAGTCTTGGCACACGTTTTTCACCAAGTTTAGCAATTTTATGCTGTGATTATTTGTATCCGCGATATAAAGGTATTTACCGTCAATGCTGACGGCGAGGCCTGAAGGCTCATTGAAGGTTACTGGATCGGGGCTTTCAATTAAAGTTGGATTTAAAGTTGTGACTTTCTGTAAGCCCACGTCGACCTTTTTAATCTTATGATTATAGGTATCTGCGATGTATAGAGTTTTGTTAGATTCACAATATGCTACGCCGAGCGGGTGTTGTAGTTTCGCCTCGACGCCAATATCGTCCACGTCGCCAAACGCGAATAGATTCTGAAATAGATAAATTAAATTAATAAACTACGTCATCGCATATTTATTGAGATTTTTTGTAAATAAACTCCACTAGTTTTGTAACGATTATGAACACAAAGATCGAACATACAGAAAATTGACCCGGTGGGACTTGAACCCACGTCCATGCTGCACCGTAGCATTGCTCTAGCCATCTGAGGCACGAGTCCAGTTACCGAGTCATTGAAATTCTCGCTATGTGTTTTTGTTATGGATCTTTGTGCTAACTTTTGGCATTCGTCGCCGCTAGTGACATCTAGTGAGAGATTTTTGAAGAACCTTATCATATATAAACTGCCTCGGTGGCTGAACGGTTACCATGCCGGACTGCCACGCAGAGCTCCCAGGTTCGATTCCCGGGCCGGGATAAATATTTGTATGGCCTACATTGATTTCTCTCGTGAGTTTGGGTGTAATTTGTGGTTGTCTATGTGTGTGTCCATGGCACCCGCGACGCAGGGTTTCCCTAGTGCAGGGCTATGTTGAGTGTGTGAGCGCGTTATTATATCTTTGCTAGCTCTACTACTACAACTTTTAGTAGCAGAAGAGTAAATGTAAAAAAGTTCATCCAGAGAAGTACTACTGTCACCTTACCTATTTTTGGTGCCAAGTAATTAAGTGAGCATTATCGGTTTTGAAGAGTGCAGGTAAAATTACAGGCACAAGGGACTTGTCAACTTCTTTGTGACGAGCTCAATGACGGTGCCCCTCAGATCTTTGTGATTAAAGGCACTGAGTGGCACTGCAACTGTTATGGACAGGCGTGTCGCTTACCACCAGGCGCAGTTTGTTCGACATGGTATCATAAACTTGGACCTTTTCAAGGCGAGAGTGAATAGGCATTATCTAGGTGTGCATGCTCTATCGTCGACCTCATCGTCACTTTCTATCAGGTGAGATGGAGGTCAAATGCACACTTACATTAGAATAAAAAAAAAACCTCTTAACCAGTAAATGTGGTTAGCCACTTATTGAATACGCACCAATGGATTACGATCCCCGCCACAGAGAGTAGACACCTGACCAGTCGATAAAGCCAACCTCCTTATGGAAGAACTTTCAGAGTCCGCTATAAACACTTCTGGACTCGATCCTGTTGACATATTCAACAATATTTACTTATTTATTTATTCATTCATCTACATTGTAAACTTACAGCTAAATAGCCAACACGCTTACATGTCAAACTCAAACTCAAACTCAAAATAATCTTTATTTCATAGGTAAGCATTATTACACTTGAAATCGTCACAATGGTTAAACTCTACCGCTCATTCGTAAGGCAGATTCCCCTGAGAAGAATGAGCAAGAAACTCTAGGGGTTGCTCTTTGTAAATAGCATTTACAATATTTTTTTTTTTTTATTTGAAACATCAGAGATCGAGACTACCTCCATGAGCTAAACGGGTTACTACCACGGATTTTTGTCATCCAAGTACGCAGAAGTCGTATAATAACCTTTAGTATAAAGTTTTTGTTTCACTATAGTTTTAAACCTCGAGAAAGGCAAATTTTGTATATCAACCGGAATCTTGTTATAGAAGCTTATACATTGCCCCTTAAATGATTTTTTGACTTTGTGAAGACGACTATCAAGAAAAGCTAGTTTATTTCTATTCCTCGTATTAATGTTATGTCTGTCACTATTTTTCATAAATAAATTACTATTCCTTTTAACATAAATTACATTTTCATAAATGTACTGTGAGGCTAGTGTAAGAATGTTAATTTCCTTAAACTTATCTCTCAAAGATACTTTGGGGCCCAGATTGTAAATTGCCCTAACTGCACGTTTCTGCAGGACAAAGATTCTATTGATATCGGCGGCATTACCCCAAAGCAAAATGCCGTATGTCATTAGACTGTGAAAGTAACTGAAGTAAACCAATCTAGCGGTTTCGACGTCTGAAAGTTTCCTTATTTTTTTAATCGCGTACACTGCAGAGCCGAGCCGTTTTGATAACTTACTTATATGGGGACCCCATTGCAATTTAGCATCTAACGTTATACCTAGAAATACAACTGTATCCACAAGATTCAATTTTTCATTTCTAACTACAATGTTTGTAACCGTCTCTCTAACATTGGGTAATGTAAATTTCACACAATTTGTTTTTTTCTCATTAAGAAGAAGGTTATTAACAGCAAACCAATCAATTACTTTAGACATAGCATTGTTCACATCGTCATAGGAACATTGGTGCCTTTTAACTTTAAATAATAAGGAAGTATCATCAGCAAACAATACTATCTCATGTTTTATACTCTCCATAAGGCTAGGTAAGTCATTAATATAAACTAAAAATAAAAATGGGCCTAGAATTGAACCTTGAGGGACACCCATGCTAATTGCAGATCCTGACGATCTCGTACCGTTAACATCGACCCTCTGTACCCTACCACGCAAATACGATTTAAGAAGGTCGAGATCACGTCCCGCCACACCATAATGGCGAAGTTTCCTGACCAGTGTATCATGGTGCACACAATCAAAAGCTTTGGAAAGGTCACAGAATACACCAATAGCATCATGTGAAACTTCCCATGCATCAAATATATGATTAATCAACTCGACACCAGCATCGGTTGTAGAGCGATCCCGAGTGAAACCAAATTGCTTAGGAGACATTAAGTTATTACTATAAAAATGTGCACAATTTAGAATATTTTACTGAGAGTTGGTAGTATTGATATAGGTCTGAAATTGGTGGGGTCAGAAATACTACCAGATTTGAAAAGTGGAATAACTTTACTTTGCTTCATGAGGTCAGGAAAGACACCATCATCAACACATTTATTAAAGACACAGGCCAAATAAGGCGCAATATAATCAACTATAGAACTAATAACTCTGACTGAAAGACCATCAAGATCAGCTGTATTTTTTAAGTTTATAGACTTAAAGGCTCTAACAATATCGTTTGGCAATACATGACGGAACCTTAAATTAGTGATACTAACTGCATTATTTTCTTTTAGTAAGGATTCAGCGGCGGTGGGAGATGAATTTAACGACTTAGTAGTCAAAATTGGAATGTCAGTAAAAAAATTTTCAAATATTTTAGCAACTTCTGCGTCTGTGTTTACAATTTTGTCATTAAATCTTAGTTGAAAATCTAAGTTACGAGGTTTGACCCTTCCTCCCTGTCCTAAACAGATAATTATAAATATATTTCATTATGGTATTACTAAACTATTCTAATTCTAAAAATTTACAACTCTCCCTACATATATATTCAACGCTAATAAACGGATTAGGTTTGCTTTTACATCAATTCTATATTCATCTGTTTAATTTGAGCTTTACTTCATTTCAGCCTGTTTGCACCCACTGTTGAGTGTAGGCCTCCTCTTTATTGCGCCCTTCTTTCCGGTCCCTTGCGAGTCCTGTCCAGCGGTTCCCAACTATGGCCTTGATGGCATCAATCCATCGTGGTCTGCCTCTTGGTCTTTTCGTGTCTCTTGACCATCGTCCCTTGTAGCAAGTGCCCACCTCCACTTAAGCTTGTCTATCCTCATACCCGTCTACTACCTTTGTGCGACGTCAAACGTCTACATTGGGTACGTGGTCCAGCTTTACTTACAAAAAAAAAAATACTGTAAACAAATATCATCATAAGACAGACGGAAAGTTATTACAAAACTTATTTATTACCTGATCTTAAAGCCAAGCCCGAAGGCTGTGCAAATGCAGCCGTGGTGGGATAAGCGCTGTTGCGAGCTGCTTCTGCGCCTGAGCCCACAATACATACGCAAGTACCTAGAAAATTATATGAATTTAGATTTTGAATGAAATATTAGGTGAATTTATTGTGAGACATAGTTATAATAATATTAATTATTTTACTATATTTATCTTTTAGGCCTTGGGAGAGGTGAGAGTTTATAATAGATATAATAATAATGTGTTTATTTCACATCACAAGTACAGAGAGCAATATAACAAGATTTCCAAAAAATAACATAACAAATAAGCTTATGCTAAATTAACATTATATTTTAACATGTATATGCATTGCAAACGTAATGTCATGCCTGAAAGCACTATGCATGGTTACAGTTTGTCCCCACACTAAGGAGAGCCTGTCCTAGCAAACATATATATTGTATGTACATTCTAACTTTATAGTTAAAATTTATTTAGCAAAGGCTAATAACAGTAATAACAGAGCAGCTAACTAAAACTAAACCAGATGCAATATGTCAAGGCTGTAGACTATTTTAAAAGTTCAAAAGACCACTGACTATCCATACTAGAAAAATCTGTATTATGGGGGTCAGTCATCCTCCTCAATGAACAAATTTACACAAGTACTGAATTTAATTTTTTGAAATATAGTTAAATAATATAGCATGAAATAAATTTAATTAATTGTGTGTTACAGTGTGTATGTATGTGCTTGTGCGTGGTCATCCGTACGTGTGCGTTCGCGCGCGCGTTTGTGTGCGTGTGTACAATAATAATGATAACAATGTGCTAGACATCGACACCAGTACCAGCACTACAAGGCCGGTCTCAAGTCAGTGAGTTTGCTACTGAGTACCTTAGCAACGGAATTAACTCCGGGCAGCGCATACAATACGTACCCTTCTACCGTACCGTTCTCTCAAATAAAAAAATCTTCTATCGTATCGATTTGTACAAACAGCTGGGCCGTCTAGGTCCTCAAAAAGATTTATATACCTTGTTAATTCTTTAACAATATAGCTTTCACTGTAAAAATAAATACCTTCTGTATGCGATTTGTATTTCCACCAAATGGTGTTGTCGAGGAAGAGCGCCCATATCTGATGTGAGCCAGCACACGCGATCAGCAATACGCGACGTTTCTCGTCTTTCTTGTCTTTTTCTTTGTCTGCATCAATTAAGGGGCCATTAACCATAAGCGAAAATACAAGATACCAAGGAGAGTTTGTCACATCGAATATAATGCTTAAATAATTTGATCCTGCCTAAAAACCTCTGACCGTTAACCCGATGGTTTCTGGAATGTTTTGTTACCTACACTATTTTATACATAAAAACAGACTACAAAAGTTCGTGGAATTACATCTATTTGCCAACGTTTATTGAAATCGGTTAACGGAAAGTGGGTGGGATTTTCTTCAAATTTAAATGGGACGACGACCTTACCAACCAAAAAAAAGAATTTTCGCAATCGGTTCACAAATGTTGGTGTAATCACGTAACATACACACACACACACAAAATACAATCGAATTAAGAACCTCCGGCTTTTTTGAAGTCGCTCAAAATTTGTAACATAGTCAACATTTGACGACAATTCCACCTGATACAAAAATGACATTTGCTTGCTTAGAAAGTTTTTTGTGTACCGCCAAGTTATATTTTGCAGGAAAATCCACTTTAGAGCTGTTCGTGTTACGAAACAGGTAGTTCGTGGTTATTAGAAGTACATCCACAATACACACACGATTTCTATGTCATTTTTCAGGACGAAAAGTGTGGTATAAAATGTAGTAACCGCAATAATGTTTGTAGTTAGCATTTTAATTAGTTAAATTATACCTCTTTCAGATACTATATTACTTTAATAATATACTTGAGCAAGAATTTTATAAGTTTTTCTTCAATAAAAAACATTAAAAACGAAATATGAGAAAACGCGTATGCCAGATTTTCTTTCTACGGCGATGATATACTGAACAAGCGATTTAAAATATGTAACTGAATATTTTGTTTACAGTACTAGCAGAATTATTTTCAACTGTCTTGAGCCGGGTACTCATTAGCGAACTGTAACGTGTCAGATACAGTAACGTGGTTCTAGTGTGTACACGTGAAATAGTTTTCACTCGTTAGAGAGTAACTGGTTATCGTCGGCTTTTTTTTATAATAATATCAAGTGACAGGACGAACACGTCGTGCGCCTGATGGTAAGTTACACGCCTGTCCATAACAATTGCAGTGCCTTAGCTTTAAAGTTTTAAGTGCCTTACTCAGAGCTTTAAATCGCAGAGATCTGTGGGCACTGCTAATGCGCCCGTCACCCTAAGACATAAGTTGCTAAGTCTCATGTGTCTATAATTTCACCAGCACCGTTACCCTTCAAAACTGGAACAGTAATGCTGACACTACTGCTTGGCGGCTGAAATAGGTAAGGCGGCAGTACTACCCTAGACGAACTCTTTCACAAGGAGCTCTACTGCTCATTGCGAACTGCTCGCGGCAAGCTTGCGAACCACTTAAACATTATAATTTTTGGTAATATAAAGCTCGATACTCACTAGCGAGCTGTAACCGTAAGCGTTGCATGTTATGTTACCAAAAATCATAGTGTGTACGTACCTGATTTGCGAGCTTGCCGCTAGCGGAACGCATGCGGTTCGTAGTGAGCCGTCTGACTGAAGATTGTTTCACGCGTACACACTAAAATCTCGTTGCTGTATCTGTTACGTTACAGTTACAGCTCGCTTATGAGTACCCGGCTTAACGATTGATCTCTTGTCAATGTATTATTGTAACATGGCCAAGAGAGAGTACCTTACCCTTTGTTTCTTCGTTTCCATCCTTGTCTTTATCGGAGGCGGGTCCAGGCGGCGCGGGGGGCGGGGGCAGTAGCGGTCGCACAGACATGTCCATGTCTGGCGTCGTGTACAGCAGAACATCCCATGGAGACGAGAGAGGTTGCATGCCGAGACACTTGCCGCCTATGACACGATTATTCGTAAGTTTTTCACATAAATGGCGTGTACACACTTGATATCAAGTAGGTAGGTATATTCGGATTAACGAATTGTTAGGGTACGTTCGACGACAGAAGTTGTGCAGTTTAAAGTGTCGTGACTTGTATATTTAAATGAAGTTGTTCACATATAGTAAAACACGATTAATTGTCGTTCACGAGTTTTTTGGCGTTACGACGACAGACTGTCGTGATAATGGGAAGAGCTAGAACGACAGTCGTCTGACGACAATTAAATCTTCACGATAAAAATGTGACGACAGATAATCGCAGCTTTAAACGACTGCACAATGCGGTTGCCACAAACCGATAAATTATCGTCACTATCTAGTGGGAACAGCTAGACACGACAGTTGTTCAACGATAAAATAAACGTCCACGACACGGTCACGACAGATAGTCGCGATATGGGAACAGGCTAGACGCGACAGTCGTCCAACGATAAATAAAACGTTACGACATATTGGGAACGCGTCCTTAGTCATGTGACTATTGATATGCAGATATTATTATTAGTACTTACTACTTAAAGCCGGGCAATTTTAAATTCATTCACCTCTAAAGCAGTGTTTCTTAACCTGTGGTCCATGGACCCTTAAGGGGCCCGTTTAATGAGAGTTGGGGGTCCACTGTGAGCCTACCTAACACAATGCATTAACATAAAAATTGGTATACAATATGTTGTGAATAAATTAATAGGTACAGTGCGCGTGACCTTTTTGAATTTTCGCGCCCTTTGACGGCCATCCATTATTGGAGCGAGCGACACTCGCGTAAGTGCCTCTAACGTCAACGCCTTGACTTTCAAGTCATGGTATGGTTCTAATTCATCATATGCAGCAGCAACCGTCTCACAACTATTCATATGTAAAGTTTAATTGCAAACAATAAAAGCTGGTAAAAGAGGAACCTCGTTTTTTTATTTTTATTTTGGAATGGGTTCGTGGGCTCTTTGAAATTTTGAGAGGGATCCATAGAAAAAAGTTAATAAAGTGATAACTTTGTGACGATGCAACCTGTTTCATCGTCATCTCACCTTTTCTCTGGTTCCTGGCCACCTACTTTGAAATTTTGAATCGTTCTTAAATTCCTTTTCTTCTTCGTGACTTACTTTTCTTCTTTCCAGCCACTCTCTATTAAATTTCACTTCACATAAAGTATTATATTTGTAGTACCATTGAAAATCAAGTAACCGAACTGCTTATAAAGCATATTAATTCTAGAAATTACAGGCACTTTTGGGGTAAGTTCCTTTTTACCTTAACTTGTATATAATTTAAGTATCTACTGTTTTATACCATTGTACCTGTTTTTATATCATTGTTTTGTTACAGCCTTTACGCTTTTCCTTACATGTTCTTATCGCTTTCTGTACTCTTTCTTTATTTCTACAATAAGATTAATGTGGACCGAGATTTGTATTTAATTACGCGAGGCCCGCGTGACAACTTATCTAAGAGATATCTTTCCAATTAAGACAATTTAACGTGCTAAAACATTTAGAGTCCCAACTAAAGTAATACAAAGTTAGTACACCAATAACTTACCCAAATCGCCATGCACAGATTGTTGTCCATTGCCAGCAAGTACCTCTACAGAACCGTCGTCGAGATGTATCGCTCTCAATGCATGATTGTTGGTATCGCACACCGCCAACACATTGCTGGATAGCCAGCACAAGCCTTGAGGCGAGTTAAACTGCGCCTCATGGAATTCTGAGAAGCAAGAAACAGTAAATAGTACCTACTAAAAAAAGTTACCAATTCCAAAGCAGTAAGTACTGTGGCTACAATAATAATTATAATAAGTCTAATAGATATCCATAACAATAACGTACACTCATAGCTCCGCACTAGAGACACCTCGTAGGTGTGGTGCCACGGACACACAGATAAACAACCACACATTACACCCAACTCACGAGAGAAATCAATATAGGCCATACAAATATTTCTCCCGATTCGGGACCTCTGCGTGGCATTCAATGAATGAATGTTTACATATCAAAATGAATGTTCACATAACTGGAATGTAAATAAGATTGTGATGTCAAATGAAACAAGTTTCACATGAAATCTCATCTCTATAATAGCACGACAGGGCGCGACTTACGGCGCGTTCCCATTATGTCGTACCGACATATAGTCGTGTAGTTTCAAGTGTCGTGGCTTGTATATTTAAATGAAGTTGAAACATAGAACAACACGATTAATTGTCGTTTACGACTTTTTTGACGTTACGACGACAGGCTGCTCGTGACAATGGGAAGAACTAGAACGTCTGTCGTCAGACGATAAAAATGTGACGACAGGTAATCGCAGCTTCAAACGATTTTGTCGTGCAAACGACAAGGCGGCTGCCGTGAACCGATAAATAGTCGTCACGATCTAGTGGGAACAGTTAGACCGACTGTCGTTCAACGATAAAATAAACGTCCACGACACAGTCACGACAGATACTCGTGATATGGGAACAGGCTAGACGCGACAATTGTGGAATGATAAACAAAACGACTTAATCCCTTTATGGCGTTTTATCCCTTACGCGAAAGCGACAAAGAGCGAGATACTACCATCCTAGCAAAGAAAATAGCAATCTATGTCGCTCTCGCTTAAAAATCGCGCCCTGTCGTGCTAACACTACAAAGGCACTTTTGATAATTGCCCATAATAGACGAGACTCACACGAAAACACAAAATATATTCCATACCATAGATATAGAAAAAAAGGGGAGATTTGGTATGGGAGCGTGGTTCGTGTCGCCTCGATATGATCAAAACACGAGACACGCCTACAAACATCGCCACAGTGACATGGCGATCGTTGTACATACAAGATCTCTCGTAAAACGTGAAAATGCCAAGTTGTAGAGCTACACCTTGTAAAAATTAGAGCGAAAACTAAAATTTTAAAACCAGTGAGATAACATTCCACCGGCTATTTGCATTTTTAGTTACTATTTATATTATTCAATGTTTTCTTTTTGCCTCCATAGAAATTTCTAGACTCAAATACAGTGATGTTCATTTACGATGCCTGATGTTTATCGACAATAAATTTTCACTGAAATGTTTGAATTTCTTACTACGATTTATGTAATTAAAGTTAACCGTCAAACGTTAAACTGATTTCTTTTATTTTATTATTATCATTACTAAACATTTTATTTCGAGTAACTATAACACAACTCATATTTCGGACAACCGTTTCAATTTCATGTCAATTTGTATGTTGCTGTTGCTTGAAGAAAACGTTAAATTGATTTCTTTTATTTTATTATTATTATTACTAAACATTTTATTTCGAGTAACTTTAACACAACTCATATTTCGGAAAACCGTTTCAATTTCATGTCAATTTGTATGTTGCTGTTGCTTGAAGAAAAATGTATGTGTATTATTGTTTTGGATATTTAAATTCCATTATACTCGTAGATCAAACATAGAGTATTTTTAATTTCCAATGAGTTCGAAATAAAAGAAGGTTGGATTGAAGCTGCAGGAAAATCGAAAGATTGGTTTTCTTATTACTATTTCTGAGTTTGTTTAAATTTCCACAGCAAAAATGCATTTAAAAAAAAAATAAAATAAAATCGGCTTTATTTTACATGTGCATGCAAAAAAATAAGAAACAATTATAGAAAATTACACAAGTCCTTCACAAAAAACAAGATAATTTAATTTATTAAATTCGTTGATAGTTCGAGTTTACACTTGACAGCTTCACCAACCCGTGGTAACGTATAATGGAAAACTGACACTGGCGACGATCGCCATATTTTTTATATTATTCTTATAAAACTGACATTGGCCCAAGCCTAGTGGCCGCCATTAAGAAAATAATTTAATATAGAAATAATTTAAGAAAAAATTGAAGAAAATAATTTAATATAGAAAATAATAATTTATATTATTATATTAATTTAATAATACACCAGTACCAGTGTAGGTATAGTATGAAAAATGGAATATTTATTTAATATTGAAAACGCCACATGGTTTCTAACTTTCGCTTAGGTAGAACCATATCCCTCGTTGAGTAGCGTCAGTTTAAGGGTAATAAGGTTAACAATTCACGGAGCGGTTTTCATGCGCGACAGCGGTTTTATTTCAATACTCACGACCCTGCAAGTTTGTTCGGTCACGTAGCCGCCGCGATTGTGGGGACGAAACCGTTGCGATTGTGGAACGGACCGCGAAGTTAGTGGGAGTTAATCGCAAGTCGCGCGGTTAATAAAGAACTCACACCGCGTGCGCCTGCACCACATTGCGCGTGAACCGACGACGGCCGCCAAGCGCGCAGGTGACACGTCCTGCGCGGTTCAACTAATACCCCGCCGCGGCAACCGCGAGCAACCGTCACCACTACAGGCGTAAAACGCGACGTGAAATGTGCTACTAATTTCACATACTTAACAATTACACTCTACAGATACCGCGGTCCTGCGAGAGACGCGGCTGAAAACCACTCCGTGAGTTATTAGTGTAACGATGAATGAGTTTCGGCGCCATCTAACGTATAATAGTTAGCTATTATATACTAGTAGCATTTTTACTAAAACGCCACCTGATTGTGAATGGCTGAACTAGGATGAAAAAATACTGAAATATTGTAATATAACTCTTACTTAAATTACTGTAAGTTTAATTTTGTTAAATTTTAAAATTGTGTTACGTCGTTTTCACGTTTTAAGCCCTACCCAATCAAAATCTTTAAGTTATGGTAGTAGATAATAGAGCGTAAACTTTGAATTCCACACATTGACTTACAAATAAATGAACGACGGGTCTAATACAAAAACCACGAAAAAAATGTCCCAAGTCAACCTATTCGAAATTTAAATTGTAATGTCATCGCAGTATCGCGCTGTCAGTCGAACAAATGAAGACTAAAGCGGAGTTTGGCGCTCTGTATACGATTTTACGTCCATTAATTGTAAGTCAATGATTCCACACTAGCTAAAAAGTGACGACATCGGTACCAGATCTTACATAGCGTCATTACATATCTCCCCTTTTTTCCTATATCTATGCTCCATACAAACAAAATACAATATGTATGTACTAACTGCCATCCTTGAAACCTGGCGTGTTACCGCCAATTATGCGCAAGATCAGTCCAGAGCAATCGGTCAACAAAATGCGGTGGTGGCCAGTGTCGCTCACAGCTAGGAACGGTTCTTCAGCGCGCCCGCGGTAGAACGGATTAAGAGCTACCTGGTGATTGATAGAAATGTTTACTGACGTAATAATTTCGTCATATAGCACTATGTATGCCAATATGTACGCCAATGCTGGGGTGGTTGCCCTGTCATTGGCTGGGTATGTTCTGCTCCCATCATAAATAATTAATTTTGTTTTATAATTATTTAAAAGCTAACACTAGCTTAAGTACTTTACTAACAAATATTATGGATGAACATATAACTAAAATAAATGGTTTATTATTATGTAATAAATTTTCAAAAAATGTTGTTTCTGGTTTGACAGTATTGGTTTGTGTTTAAATGAAGTAATTGAATTGAGCAGCAAGTATGTAGAAAAGAGCAGTTATACCCATGAAACTTTGCTTTAGTCGCTGTCCTGTACCATTATTTACATAGTTGCCTATTTACATTGCTATGTAACAGTGGTATTTCATATAAACTCACAAATCTACACATTTCTAGGTTCTTTGTCACAATTTGGACAACTATGGTTGAACTATACTGTTGATTTATTTAAAAATATACATTTCATAATGGTACACATTTCAACTTTTCGTTGTCCTGGCTACAGCAAAATTTTTGCAGGGAAATAAAGTATTTTTACATGTTTGTATGTTAAAACCAATTAGAAAATCTTATTGTTAACCCAGAAACAAAAATCGTGTCGCATGGTGTAATCTGATGCTGATAATCTCAACAAACCTTCGAAGGAAAGCTTAATGTTTCCTCTTCTTTAGCCATCACATGCTTTGCAGGAGCTATAATAGTCGCCAAAGAACTGTTAGAGATACGAGTTCCAAAGTGTCTCAATGCAGCCCCTACATACCACACCAATTCATCTCTGTGCCCTTCCCCAGTCAGAACAAATATGGGCTTACTACCTGGCCCTAGAGGAAAAATTTACAAATTAAACTTTAAATAGTACTATTATAAAACAAGTAAAAAAGTACTAATATTGATTCAAATTAACATTTTCTAATGTAAACTTTCTTAAATAAGCTTGGTTTGTTTCATTTATAACATAGCAATTATTTAAGCATGACTAGAGAATGCAACACTGGATTTCTTTGAACAAAAACATTGTCTGCAGCAACTAATTTGTTAGCAAATACAAACTTCAATTATAAAGGCAAAACATATTGAAAAACATATAAATTCTTGATTGAACTCAAGTCAGTATAAGGTTAGTTTCATAGAGAAAATCAAACATACCCAGTATGAGTAGTGTAGGCCAACACCTAATGCCAAGTGCATCCCAGTAGGTACTATTGGCATCATTAACCACAGGATGATGTATGTTGTACCTCTGCACAGCTGAGAGAATGTTTGAAGTCTCCTTTTCATTTGAAAATTTAGCACAATGAACTCCAATCTGTTGATATTCAAATTGTAAAGAAATGTGTATTTACTATTCATCTAATTATTCAATTAAATTTGAGTTTCAAAGTTCAAAACCATTAAAATATAAATTAATAAATTTTTCTGCAACAGCTCATTATGTACCAATAGTCAAACAATCAGTAATTTTTTCATAGAATAAAAGGAGTAACTAGTAAGCATTGGTGGGGACAAACTCTCCCGGATTCATGCCCCTTTCCAGAAAATTTGTTACAGATATTAAAAAATTAACCTGTCCACCTATCTGTTGACATACAATGGTAGAAAGAGACACAGTTTCCTTAATGATTTTGATACTACTCATACTAAAATCATCATCATATTATATAAGTATATTTCTTGTTTATAAAAAAATGAAAAATTGTTTAAATTATAAGTTTATTAATAATTATAAAAATTTTTAGTTTTAAAATTTACAAAAAAATACAAAAAAAATTCTTAACAAAATTGTAACAGTCTCATTTTTGTCAGTAGAACACATAAAATGACATGGTCCAATGATGTGTAACAAAAAACCTCTCCTCATTATTGAGACTTGTAAAGGGGATGGGGATGTAAGGGTTTACTATCCTTACTGTCCAAACACAAATAAAATATATATTTAAAAAAAAAGAATGTTACTCCAATTTAGTTTAAATAATGATTATTGATCAATTACTGTTAGTAATTTTGTATACAACACATTATGTGGTTTCAGTTGTCCAATGCGTGAGATATAACAAGATGCTGCCAGCTTTTTGATAGTTACTGCTAATGAAAGTACACAGTAGTAGTAGTCTGTATTGTACATACTGTACAATACAGACTACTACTACTCTTCTTCTTTTGAATTCTTGGGCCAAGAATCAATGCTGAAGCCTATGGATAAACTGCTGAAACTAAACTTTGAAATAATTTACGAAAGTTTCAACTTACCACCACAAGCCCATCTTCAACTTTGTGTAGTTTCTCCAAGTGTGCAAGATCAGGAAGTACATGGTAACAATTTATGCAGCAATATGTCCAAAAGTCCAACACTACGATTTTATCCGTACAGTGGTTCGACAATGAAATTGGCTCCGATACATTCACCCATTCCAGATCTAAAAATTATTGTTTTAGGGTCAAGGTTACATGGACTACAACCAAAAAGTACACATAGTTCTATGAAGAAAAATTCCTCAGAAGAGTCTTTCGTCATGTAACGTACTTTTCTTAAAATCCTCAATAGGTCCTACAGATAACGAAACTTTCTTTATGTGATTGGTAATTAAAGAATCTCGCTCAGCTTCGTTGCTCGCAGCATTCATTGCTTCCGTTAAATCCATACAGGACTGAGCCACAAAATCTAAAGAACTCGACTCCATTGTTTGATTCGTAGAATATTATTACAAATCTTAGGAAAATAGAGGACATTAAAAAATGATTCCCAAAGAGTAAAGTAAGTATTTGGATGATTCCTGACGATGCTTCTACATTAATGAAAGTCAAATGAAAGAAAGTATGAAGTTAAGAAAAGGAATTAGGAAAAGTGAAAACAATTGACTGATATGTGTCAAAGTCAATTAACGTTTTTTTTAAATTAGTTTTGGCAACAATTTAACAAGAACATCAACCTTGTTATAAATTAAATGAAAATTTACCTAAGGCTAAGGCTTATGAAATAGCGCATTATAATGTATGTCAGTGAAATGAAGTACGAAAAGCGTATTTTATATAGTTTGAACTGATTGATTTGGTTTTCTTAAGCAAAACAAAAAGAAAATTTAGGCGTAATAAATGGACATTTTCGTTTCATTTATTGAAACTAAAACTGAAAAGAAATCATTTAAAAATGTTACAAAATTATTGAATAATATTTTCGAAAATATAAAATAGTAAATTTTCTAGAAATAAGTAATAATTTTTAGGCTCGTATTCCAGAACTCTACTCAATGCTACAATGCTCAAGTTAGGACTTGAGTATGGTTTAAAGCACTCGAAATCATACTCAAGTTCCTGCCATTAGGGTCGTATTTCCAGTGCTGGAAATCATACTCAAGTCCTGTCTTGAGCATTGAGTAGAGTTCTAGAATACGACCCTGAGGGTCAATGCTCAAGACAGGACTTAGTATGATTTCCAGCACTGGAAATACGACCCTAATGGCTAGGACTTGAGTTTGATTTTCAGTGCTCACTGCAATACTCAAGTCCTGACTTGAGTATTGAGTAGAGTTCTGGAATACGACCCTCAATAATGCTACTGTGTGAGTGTGAGTGTGAGATGGGTAATTAAAAAGATTAATATTTTTCCACTTTTCGTTTTGGAATGAAACGAACTTTGCCCTGACAGTGACAGGCTGACATTTTATTTATTGTACTACAATAAAAATTGTTTTTGTTCGTAATTTGGATAATCTAATAACTTTATTTTACAATTGTGGTTTACAATTGATGAAAACTAGCTTAAAATAAAATTGTACTGTTCACAAAGTATGCTATAACATGGATGCTGTGTTTGATATTTGCTATTTATCTTCTGAGGGTAATAATGTCGAGCCCGATGATATTCCGAAAACAAAGGAAAACGTCTGGGTTTTAGGCAAGAAATACAGCGCAATTCAAGGTTAGTATTATATTTGTGTCCAGCTGACGCGTAGTAGTAATATTCATTAATGTCGTTTAAATCTAACAAACTACGCTCATCGCAAAAATCAGCTGACTAAAGAAAGGGGGTCTCCTTTCATTGTTTACTTTTTGTATACATACGAATTAGTAGATGTTAATATCGCTCTTGTCATCAGATTTGTGATAACACTTACTAATTTAGCTTTGTTCACAGATATAGATCGAATTCGGCGTGATATCACCTCTATAATTTGGTGCACATATAGAAAAGGTTTTGTGCCCATTGGCGATGAAGGGCTTACCTCTGACAAGGGCTGGGGTTGTATGTTACGATGTGGACAGATGGTCCTTGGAGTTGCACTGATCAGGATTCATTTGTCATCTGATTGGGTTTGGACACCAGAAACTAGGTAAATGCATACCTACCTTAAATATACTTCATAAGTAATATACTTTTTGTTCATGAGTAATTTTCAAGTTAATTTTCTTTTATTATCAAAATATTCCAGAATATTATCATGAAGTATTATTTAATATTCTAGTGTAGTATGTATACTTGAATACTTAAATAATAAAAATTGCCACTGAAATTAGGTAGAGGAAATTAACTTGAGAATTACCACATCCTTTACAATATTATAGATCATAAAGCGTTTATTGCAATGCCTAAAATATACAAAAGGATAAATTAAATAAATAAAAATAACAGCAATAAGCCTAAGAAAAAACAACTACCCACGCTGGTGCATTAGTTTGAGGATTTTACTAGTGTTGTGCTAAATCGACACTACTGAAATCCTCTGAAACTGGGGAACTGTATATGTTTTTACAATAAGATTCCAGAGCATACATTAAGTTTATCATTTCCTAAGTTTAAAAACTACATTAAAATTTTTTGATTGAAAAATCATATTACAAAATTGAAGACTACATGTTAGATAAAGATGTATGGAAAGACAACGGCTCCAGAATCCACACAAATTTGATTCAAAGTATATTCCATACCATTTAAGTTTATTTGAAAAGAGCAATCCCTGGAGTTTCTTGCTCGTTCTTCTCAGACAGGTCAGCGTAGTGAACAAGCAGTAGCTTAAATGTGACGTTTTCAAGTGTAAATTTATTTTACCTATGGAATAAATAATCTTTGACTTTGACTTTGACCTCAAAATAATGCATTATTTTAAAAAAAAATCTCATTGGTTATTTTACTTTTTAATTTGAAGTCTAATTGGAATGTAAAAAATTGTCTGTCATTTTTTTCATAATTTGTTTCAATTTCCTACTAAGTAGGTTGAACAAGTGGCTCAAAGTTGATTTTGTGTTATTGTAAATTTCATGAACTTTACTTGTTTTTATATTTAATAAATATTCAACTTTGATTTAATCAGAATGAAACTATTACAATATTTAAATTTTCAGCTGTTTTAACATTTTAACAAAAATCAAACATTCACAAAAAATTCCTTTGGTCCGGCCAGATTCGATCCGACATCTTCTAGCATATCGTGCCACACCCTACACCAACTAAGCCACGGAACAAACCAGCAGACATAATGAATTTTTTCTACATGCTTGTCGTGTCTTTGTACATACTTGGTTTGTCTACGACTTTTTCGCTATGCTAGACGGTAGGTAGTTTAGGTACGAAACTAGTGGAGTCATTTCACATAAAAAATAATTCAATAAAAAATTTAAATACAGCGACATCTCTAGCCGGGGCTGGTAGCTGTAAAGGTATCTAACTGGGTGACGAAATACTTTGATAGATTTCTCATAGATGGCGCTACGGCTAAAAAGTCGTTGAAAAACCAAATACCACAGAAAAATTCGTGAGGTCCGCTGGTTTTTACAGCGGCTTAGTTGATATAGCGTCTGGTACGGTATGCTAGAAGACATCGGTTCAAATCCAGCTGGATTATCGATCGAAGGAATCCTTTCTGAGTGTTCGATCTTTGTATTAATATTTATAACAAACTAGTGGAGTAATTGAATATTAATTCAATATAAATTTAAATTTTAACAAAACCTGAAAAAAATGCGATATGATTATTTTCAATTTTTCAAAGAATTGATAAGGCTAAAGCTAAGTCAAACTTAAAAGATGTTAATTTAATTGTTACTTATATATAATTCTTTATTTTATTTTTATTACATTACTGTATTATAAATGTGTGTAGTTAAACATTAAATACCCCAAACACTGCTGTACTTCTCGTAAACTATGTAATCAACATTTTTAGTGGAATTGAGTAATTAACGTATCTGGAATCATCAATACGATAACTACAACCTCCTCTAATTGGTTTTTTTTATGTCTTATGTAGGTTGATGTTAGATGACAAGGGAGCTGATACAATACAATTTGAAATACTATCATATGTGTCACTGTGATGTATATAAAAGGATCTTATCTATCTACATCCACAGCAGGAATCACCTATGGTTATCAATGGACACTTGCTGCATTCTGAATATGTGATGAGTGTGTTTGTCATGAAAATAAAATATACTGTGTAAATATGTGCATCTGATTGTGTTCTGGCTGTGTGTGATATTGACAATGGACATAAACTTAGTTAGTTAAAATATAAATAAGGCTCTAATGTGTAAACTAATATTTATTTATATAACTGAAAACTCATTTAACATCAATAACTTTCAGAGATCCAACTTATTTAAAAATTATACAACGCTTTGAGGAAAGAAAGCAGGCACCATATTCCATTCATCAGGTGGCTTTGATGGGAGCTTCAGAAGGAAAAGAAGTTGGACAGTGGTTTGGACCCAACACTGTAGCTCAGGTTATGAAGTAAGTATCCAAGCCATGCATTTTTTATGTTTCTGTTTTATAAAATGAACAAAAGAATAACAGACTTTCAATTTATTTTTCTTCTCAATGTGTAATTTATACACATATACACTCCTCACCCTGTTTCCATGGACCTACCCACACAGTCTTCCACTTACTATGTAAGAGTTCATTCCGGGAAGTACTGCCACCGTCGCTATTATAATAATAATATAATAACGTACACACTCAACATAACCCCGCACTAGGGAAATCCTGTGTGCGGGTGCCATGGACACACACATAGACAACCACAATACACCCAAACTCACGAGAGAAATAAATGTCGACCATACAAATATTTCTCTCAGCCCGGGAATCGAACCCGAGACCTCTGCGTGGCATGGCAGCCGTTCGACCACAGAGGCAGTCATTATATTTGAATTTATTTATATTTCTGCCGCCAAGTGACAAAGTGAGCATTACTGTATTCTGGTTTCAAAGGGTAAGGGTTCTAGTGAAATTACAGGCATTGGGACTTGTCGACTTGTGTGAAGTGTTAGGGTGACTGGCGCAATGCAGTGCCTTTAAAATATTTGCGATTTTAAAGGCGAAGCTCTGAGCAGCATTGTAATTGTTAGAGACAGACGTGTCGCTTACCACTAGGCATACTACTTGTTCGTCCCCTCACTTACGAAAAAGATCCTAACAAACATCTTTCCCCTCATCAACAAGCATCAAAGCATTCATTCATGCTTGTTGGCTAAGGTTACTCTTGACTGGGCCTTTCTTTAAGACATGCTCCATTTGATCAGGGTAAGTTCGCCTTGGTCGGCCCTTAGTAAGGGCCCCTTATCTTATTAAGAGCTAGTTTTCAGTTATATCGCACAATATACATCAGGTCAACATGCATTATTTTCTTCGATGTCTTATCAATGGATTGAATGTAATTCTTAGTTCTAGCCCATGCAGGTAAATATTTGTCTGTCTATAAAATAATATAAAGTAAACTGACACAAGACGGTTTGAAAACAATGTCGTTTTATATTGAAAATCCATTCACTTTAGGTGTGTTTAGGAATACTATTTCAAATTATTATTCTTTCACAAATATATATATATGCTTGCCCATTACAAAATACAAGAACATTTGTTATGTTTTAATAAACATTTAAATTTGTTTCAGAAAATTAGTAGTTTATGACAAATGGAGTTCTCTTGTGATTCATGTGGCTTTAGACAACACTGTAGTAAAAGAAGATATTTGTAAGTACACAATTTCAGTGTCGTTTAACAAGCTTTTAATTTGAATTAATGATGTTATATTAAGTTAATTTTATAGCCATTTACATAGACTAAATTTCGCGATTTGGCGTCATCAACCGGGTTAAATACCGCTACATAAGTCTATATTTCTACTTGTGAAAAACTCGTTTACTCCTATTGTACAAATAAATAATATTATCATATTAATATTTCAGTGGCGCAGTGCATAGTGAAGAATGACAGAGGCGACTGTTCAAGTGCCCCCGATAATTTAATTGTGACTGACTGGATGCCTCTACTCCTGGTTGTGCCGCTGAGACTTGGCCTTAGTGAGATAAACCCTGTATATACTGAAGGACTGAAGGTAATTTGACAACAATTAAGCAGTTCCTTTATTTCAGACCTCGGTCAGAGAATAAAAAAAGCATCGAGTATATAACCAGACATAGAGACGAAATGTCATTTATTTTGTTAGAAAACTATTCTGCCAAATAACAACTGGTGACATGCGCTCCGATTGGCCAGCCCGAATTCGAAATGTACATTAGAGTTGGGCAAACAAATATTATATTATCGAAATCGATAGTCAAGATATATATTATTAAATAAGCATTACCTGTTTTTTTACACGACCGACCAAACAAATGAGTGTAATGTTTTCATGGTCAATATATGTAAGGAAATATCGTTTATTCATTCCTGTGTATCTTCTGAATGTTTCAACATCCATAGTCATCTCGAGTGAGAATGGCATTGGGTATCAAAAAAAGTAAAAACCACAGACATATAATGCGTCTATATATATATAGACGCCGCAAGTGTACGTACTTTGCGTGCTCAAAGTAAGTCAAATTCACATACTTGCCACTGCTACACTTCAGAACGCGCTCGACCATTATCGTGGATAAACACCAGTCAAAAACGCGAAAAATGCATAATTGTGCCATTATAAACTGCAAAAGCACCGTAACCCGTAACTGTGGGTAAACGGGTAAACAGGGACGTTTCCTTCCACGAGCAAGTGATTTTATAATCAGAAGATGCATAATTTATTTTAAAAACAATTATTTTGGTTTTGTATGAATTTCGAGAAAACAAATATGCAACTCAGTGTATGCCTCATGCTTTGTAATACATTGCGGCTTTTACTTCATGCATATATTTGAGATCCTTTGTTAATACGCCATGAATATCGAACGAACGCACTTTTGCATAATGCATTCAGTTTCTGTGGTACGGCCGCTTGTACATTTTTTTGGCCAAATTTAACATTTAGTGATGTATACTTTAGGCAACACTGTTCTCGATTCTGATCGATTTTGAAAACTTAGGGACGAAAATTATTATGACCTTAATATAAAATATAATAAAAATATTATATAACTCTTTTATTATAACGTTTAGCAACGGTCTTTTTTTTTCAGGTTTGTAGTATCTATTATCAGTAGTGTCTGTAATTTCGATAATTTTTGCAGCACGTTGCCTCGAATGTCCGAATATAGTGAGCAAATAATTACTTATTAATTATTACTAATATTTGATTATTACAAGTAATACAAAAAATATATAATGCAAAGAATTAACAGTGCGTTGTCTTTAAAAAAACCTGGAGTTGGTCATACGTATGAGTTCTTTGCTTTAGAAATCCGAGAAATAATAAACAAATAAAAAAATTTCACACGAGGCCATCATTAAGTAAACCTCTTCTAATTAATAAGATGTTACCATATTTTGTCAGTAGTATCATTTTCGTTTGTCTTGCCATTCATCAATTTGATCAATTACCAACAGAAAACCATGTAGTAAAATTAATTAAGACAGTCGCAAGTTCATATATTGAGGTGCGTTTTCATTATTTAAGTTAATCGATAAGATCTTCTATTACAAAAAGATGTTATATAATAAGCTCGATTCATTCATTTTACTGGAAGGACAATAATTTTAATATTTGAAGTCGATTAAAAAGTAAAGTCTGGATTTTTTTTAAAGTAAAATAGAGGACTAAACTATCTTATTCTAGTATTTTTCTACCATACTAATATTACGACTACTTATAATCAACAAATACTTGGACAAAAACTATTCTATTTAGAATCGATTAATTGATCTTCAATCAATCGATCGAAAAACACTTAGTTGGCGCTTCTACGCTTCAGAACAAGGACGAAGGTGGTTTAGTTTATCCCACCAAAGATGCTATCCAAATATGCAGAGTAGCAAAGTTAGAAATCCGAGAAATCATGATCAAATCACAAAAACTTTATACGAGGCCGACATTAAGTAAATCTTAAGTTACTTTAGTAAGATTTTCGATATTTTATCAGCAGTAACATTTTCAGTTGTCTTGCCATTAACCAATTTGATCAATCACCGACGGAAAACCATCTAGTAAATTTAATAAAGGCAGTTGCAAGTTCATATATTGACGTGCGTTTTCATTATTTAAGTCAATCGATAAGATCTTCTATTACAAAAAGACAGTTATATAATAAGCTTATATTATTTCAAGGACAATAATTTTAATGTTTGAAGTTGGTTAAAAATTTAAGTTTCAATTATTAAGTAATCGAATTTTTTTTAAAACAACTTAAAGGACTTAACTAATGTTTTGGTATTTTTCTACTGTATTAATATTTCACGACTACTTGTAATCAACGAATACTTGAATCGATTAATTGAATGGAATACGTGTATTCCATAGATCAATCATTTTATCTATTATCGATCGATTGAGCGCGGAAGGAGGTTTCCCATCACTAAATAGTTCTTGTGACGTCATGGTGGATACATAAAATGTGGCACGCTCGGTTTCCATACAAATTGCTGTACTCGCGGCATCTATCTAGATATATGTCTGTGGTCAAAACACACAATTTTGTACTGACAGCAAACAAAAAAAATATATAAATAAAAATAATTTTTTAGTTTACTTTGTAAGAACACAGGGGCAGCCATGTTCTTAATTTAATTTTTTAAATTTGATATTATTATGCAAAGAAGTCGAAATAAAAATAACTAAAATGGATTTGAGCCAGGTGAGGGATAAGGGACAAACTGCCATGTTAGTTAGTGAAGAAATCGTTTAAAAGTCAAACGACATTTAATATGCACAAATGAAATACCTAAAAATACAGGTACTTATTTAATTAATTTAGGTAACGCAACTATACTATTAGAGTTTTGAGATTTAATTTAATAGCTTTACAAAGATTGCATAATGTATAACTGTACTTTCAAACAAAAACAATTTTCCTGAGCAATAAAAATGAACGAATCTCTATAAACTCTGTCATCTGCGAAATCATACCTACAATTCTACAATCTATTACATAATAGTTAGTGTTTCTTGTGCAAAATTTGACATACTTATAAAATCGGTACATTATACTCATGGCTCAATACTTAACTACGACGACGTTACACGTTAGATTTTTTTACTTTACCGGTTGTTTAAAAATATCATTATACAGTAAACTTGCAAATATCGATACATAATACGATTTTTTTCAGTGCAACACTAGTAACGCGTGCCTAATGAATAGAATGAGATGACGTAATAGGAGTTGCATTAGGTGGATTCAAGACGCATAAATGATTTGAAACAATTCATGGTTGTCGTCAATTGTTTCACTTCAAATCGACCAGTTTAACTTGAGCTTTGCTATAATGGACGAAAATTGAAAAATTACATATTTAATATTTAATTACCCGTGAAATGTGTTTCCGCTTGTTTTGTAGTCAGATGTTTTGCTGTTTTTCCCACACCACCGAATAGAACAACACGCCATTGTTAGAGATATTATCTTTATTACAATAAATACAGAATATTTTTTGGAATATACGGAGACGTACACACAGGTCAGTTGTTGGCGCTGTCTCTATTTCAGTGCAAACGAGAGTTGATATTTAAGTGATATATCACTGATGAGTTACCAGGAATGTATGGCCCTTATGTCGTCTCTATTTCTGGTTATATACTCGATGAAAAGAAGTAACGAAAACTCACTCTCCGCCCCTCCCTAGTTTTAGATAGCGCTCCTCTTATTGACGATCACAATGACAGAACGGCAACAAGACTGTCATCAAGCCATTCGCTAAGGACGATTTTGTTTAAGTTTCGAATTTTCAATATTATGTGATTTCTTAACAGATTATTAAAGATTTTTAAAATACTTTAGTGTAACTAATTTATAGTAGGTTATTCACATATTATATTAAGTATTTTGTTTAAACTATTTATTTGACTTTATTTAACTTAACTGTACACCAGTTAAGTTACACCAGTTACCAGTTAACTTACGGTTGTTTCAGTATTTAATAAATGAAACCATTAGTGTACGTAATAAACATATTATTTACATACACAATGAATTAATTTGCTCTTCTAAAGTCACTGTGCATGTTAAACCAGATTATAAATAGTTCAATGAAATGATGGATAGAAGAGATAGATAGATAGATATCACTTCACGCACACATTTGCACGTGTGCAGCAGCACCTTGCTGTACTTATTTACCTTCTACTAGTACAGTAGCAGTACTACGGTTGTATGGAGTGTCCGGGGTGTACCTCAGTAAAATCTGATGTGAGAGACATTCAACCAGCTCTTGCAACAGCACTGCACTGAAAAATAATTCTAATAAAACGAGTGCACAGCAATTAAATGAATTTATAATATCAATTACTAAGGTTGTGTTTGCACCTGAAGTCAGTATTATGAAATAAGTAAAATGCTAACATTGTATACTTCGCTATTCACATTTGTATGCCAATTGCTAGCGCAACACGCTGACCTGTAAACGGTAATCTTAAATATGTAAACTGTATTTACCGTGTATGCTTACAAACAAATATATCTCCTATTACAACTGTATGCTCGATGATCACAACCAACAGCATAAAATAAATTCTGTACTCTAAATTTCGGATGACTAATTAACAAAGAATGTTTCAGATGTGCTTCCAATGCCCGCAATCTGTCGGCGTAATAGGAGGGAAGCCCAATCAGGCACTCTACTTGATTGGCTGTGTCGGTGATGAAGTTATTTACCTAGACCCTCATACTACTCAAAGATCTGGACTTGTTGAAGTAAATATATGTTAAATAAAATTTTAGTTTTACATAGACTTTTAAACGTTAAAGGGTTTTATTGCAGTAAACAATAAATAATTGAAACTAACATTACTAGAGTTAGTGAAGGTAATTATACAATACAGAACACAGTGTTAATTTGAAAATATAATAATTTTGTTTTTAGAACAAAATGACTGATGAACAAAAAGAAATGGACTGCACCTATCACTGTAAATACGCGTCTCGTATACCTATAACTGTGATGGATCCTTCTGTCGCTGTGGTAAGTATATGTATAGACTAGTTTTACAAATAATTGTATTCAGTTTTTAACCGACTTCAAAAATAAGAGGAGGTTCTCAATACGAATGATTTTTTTTGCATATGTATGTTACGCGATTTACTCATTTGTGAACCGATTTTGGTGATTCTTTTTTTATTGGAAAGTGGATACGTCAGTGTTGGTCCAATTTCAATTTGAAAAAAAAAATATTCCGCTTCTAAGAGTGGCAAACAGGGGATGAATTCGGTTTCGCACGCTTTCCGGTAACCGATTTTAATAAAACTTGGTAAATAGATGTAATTCCACGAAGTTTTGAGCTCGGTTTTTTAATGCTCTGTACTGACATTATCATTTTTCTTAAAAATATTTCACAAGTAAAAAGCTATGTGTTTTTAATGATTTTTTTTTCTATTCCAGTGTTTCTTGTGCCGTACAAGAACAGATTTTGACGAATTATGTATCACCATAGAACAGAAATTGTCGGCTGAAAGTCAGCCGTTATTCGAAATGTGCGAGAAAAGACCGGCGCATTGGGGACCCAACACTGCCGATATAGATTTGCAAAACACTTCATTATTTACAGGTATTTACATTGATTTTCTTGGTTCTTTTACTTTATAAATAATGAAATTCGAATTTAAAAAATTAGTGGATACGCGTGTGGTAGTAACCTACTGGATATGAATTTGAATACCACAGAAATAATTTAACACGAAGTTTTTGTATTCTGTACAATATATTTTTTGTAAAAAATGCTTATATTAAATAAATAATGTGTCAGGCAACCACACAAATATAAATCTAGGAAATTCCTTGTAATATTAGTATCAGAACAACGAAATTCAGTCCAGTGCACTACCTAGAACACCCAGACCAGAATCAATTTAGAAAAGTTAATTTCCCAAATTTGTTCTGCCGGGAATTGAACCTGGGACATCCTCGTTCAGTGTCCATGTGTGTGTGTGTGTGTATGTACCGAGAAGGTCGTTGATATTACGAGTATATTATATATTTTGTTCTTGAATGAATATTTATTTATTTCACATTAACATTAGAATGACAACACAGAACTGTAATGTAAGCATCACAGAGTAAGTCAATATACAACAGGCGGCCTTATTCCCAAGTAGCATTTTCTTCCAGGCACCCTTAGGATAGAAATTTAAGAGTTGGAAAGAGGGGTGTAACCAAAGATTATCTTGTAATAAAACAGTTTTCAATAAATGCGCTACTCATCAATAAACACATAAATTAATAATAATAATAACAATAGTAATAATAACGCACACACTCATAGCCCCGCTCTAGGGAAACACTGTATTTGTCATGAATACACACATGTAGTCAACCACAAATTACACCCAAACTCACGAGAGAAATAAATGTAGGCCATACAAATATTTCTCCCGACCCGGGAATCTAACCCGAAACCTTTGCGTGGCAGTCCAGCATGGTAAACGTTCGGCCACAGAGGCAGTTTAATAAGGTTACTTATATACTTTTGTAGAACAATAAAATAAACAATAAATAGTAATAATAAAAATAAATTAACAAAGGAAGATTGTAACACTTAGCATTCTTTTCACAGAGTTCGAAGACATCGACAGACAATTCGACGATTCAGATCAAGAGTTCGAAATACTATGAGTGTATAGTACCAGTAAGCATTATTAAAAAATGATATTTAAAATATAATGAGATATTACTTTGTAAATAGTACATAATATATGTAACAACATAATAGGCTTAATCATAAACTGTTAAAGCGTAGGATATGAGCCATAATATTGCATTGTGGAGTTTTTATCTTAGTGTACTTGTGATTGTGCCTACAAACGAATTTTGCACTAATTGTGACTAATTTTAAGCCGGAGCATTATATTTTACAGTGCCTTTTAAATACATTGTAATTATTACGTTCACTTTCTATGCCTTCGTCCTTACATTCCTTTCATGTATGTTGCTTTTCTAGTGTGGAATTTGTTTAGTTATACTAGAAAGGAGAAGGATCACAACCCATAGAAAATTAACCCAATCCCAGCGCAAACGAAGCCTATATCAGAATTTTGCTTATATTAGGTAAGTAAATTCTATATAGTTTTCGATATCAGTGGCTAACATGTCAATGTTGCCTTTTGTTTTTGCTCAGGCACATTATTATTTATCTTTTTTTTTATATATGATTGGTTAATTTATATTTCTTTATAATATTTTGAAGATTAGAGAACAAAAGCTGTGGTAGGCTTTGTATATACATGAATATATGTTATCTAACGCTACGCCAGGATTGGGCCAAATTAGACCCTTCTCCATTGTGCGTGTTTACGCACGTATACAGAATACTTAAACAACTTTTTCTAGTCATAGTAGGTGGTAGGCATAGAAACGATTTTAAAGTTGAGCCTTCAAACCGCAAGCAATAATTAATGTACTTAGCTTATTATTACAAGTCACAATGCACCCGGCTATTGCTTTACCCAATACCTTTTGCCCACATACATTTTAATTCTTTTTAAGTTTATATGCGTTTGCAGATTAATTTGTAAGTGATGCGACTGCAGCACTTTTATTAGATTCAGTTATTTTCGTATGCCTGTGAAGTACGCAGCGTTTTTAACTGCCAGATATTATGGAATGGAGCCAATATACGCCATAGATAGATAATGATATATATGAAATTTAAAACATCACAAAGAGTATATCTAGCGTTTATTTCTTTAAGCAAATTCAGTTGGGATGAGCAGCCAAAGACTCAAAATATTTTTTTATGAATAAATAAATTGGATAAAACGTATGTATGTTTTTCTTTTTTACAAGTGTTTATACGTACTAACAACAAAAATATTCATCTTGCATAAGTAATTCCAACGTCTTTTAATATTGTATAGATTCTTACTTCCACCATACGGTATATAAGATGTTGAAGGGCAATAGTGCTGGTGAAACTATAGGCACATGGGACTTGTCAACTGTATGTCTCAGGGCGAGGGGGAATAATTGGCTTTACTCCTACTAGTGGTTCGCTTAGTGGAACGACGGATCCCGCGGGGGATCCTTGCGATTAAAGCCCTGAGTGACACTGCAATTGATATAGGTAGGCTCGTCGTTTACGAACACGACTAGTACGTCCCGCCACTTATCATAAATAATGTTTTACTTAATACTCTCTCCACATTGAAACACAAAGTAATAAAATAAAAAGAAACAAGAACATTTTTCCACATTACCATTTATTTACGTATTATAATATGCTTTGGTAGTTTAAACAGCAAACAATTAGATGAGATAAAGTTTTAAGATTATACTGTACTTCTTTAAAAGATAGTTACAATAAGTAGATAGTAATAAATCTCCTTTTCGATAATTTCATAGTAAATATGGGCAAGAACCGGGCTATTTTAAAAAAGATAATTTTCCATTTGGCACACACATATTACTCAAAATTTAACCACAGTAGTGAAATGGCAATTTTGCAAATAGACCTCACTGTACTAGGTCAAGTTGGCCCCATTTTGATAGAATTATACAATCTTGAGTTGACCTAGGCCTACATAATAATTGATGAGACCAAAAACTATTACAGTATCTCTTCACTAGTATTATTAATATTTACTGTGTTAGTAAACACGGTTATGTTATGTTGCATGTAATTCTCTCAGCGTGATTGTAACCAAAACAAATTATGTCAACATTGTGCTAAGGTACCTGCAATACAACTAAATAGCAGAAAATAAAAGCATGACTAGCACCAAGATGAATGATGAACAATTTCGTAAGCAGCACAAATGTGTATGCGGTAAAATATGCGCTGGCTGGGTTGTTCCTTTACACCACATAGATTCTAATCTAATGCTATTATGAATATGTCTTATAGACAATGTATATTTAATACGCAAGCATAAGACGTAAGATGCATTAAATATTGGTAATTCACAAATACATATTATTATATCATAAAGATGAACACCCCAATTTAGTAATTCTTACATTTAGAAACCCTTCTAGAGACTGGACAAAACACATCCATTTACTTTATATCAAAAACCACTTTAAAGAAAAGCGTTCAGGACATTTTATAACATCTAGCAATATCACAATTAACATTTATGGCAATCTATTACAAATACCTACTTTTGGCTTCAATAAGAAATTAATATTCCACTAACAAACTGTAATAGCATTGTATATAATTAAAGAAAACAACACTTTAGTACAACAGTGGAAATGAGTGGATAATGGAACAAAAATTAATTAATTTTTTGCTCTGTGTGATTTTCTGTGTCCGCAATCACAACCATTCATAAATTCAAAAATTTCAATTTCAAAAATAGAAGACTATTCATACATGCATATAAGAATAACATTTAAAAATATAAATGACTCTTTTATCTAACTATGCATAGACTACTGGACAAATCTATGTACATAGGTTTATAATATTTTTATTATTATTCTCACATCAATACTTGATACAAATGTGATCTACTAAGACAATATTCATAGAAAATGACCAGATATTTTATATTATTTTATTATGCTACAACAGAGAAATGATTTGGATTTTAATTGTAATGAGATTAATTTTTGAATGATTGACAAATGCATTTACCAGGATGTTATGGTTCATGGCCTTATATGTGGGCTTTATAAAAATAGTCATAACAAAAATGACAAGTTCTTATCTGATGCGTATTGCCAGCCATATTATCACAATGCTTTCTACTGGCTCATTCAAAAACTGAGACAGTAGAAACCTTTATGTATTTTCACATAATAAAATTTTGAGACTGATAATGCACATAAAGTGCTCTGTAAAATTTAAACCGATAAGTCTTCAAAATTCTCAAAAAGTCTTTATTTACTGCCCATGGGATGCGGAGGACATTATGTTGTTTAGAAAATTTATAACTAAAACCGTTATGTTGTCTACTGACCCCCTGTAGTAAGCTTGGAGAGTCAAGCTTTTGGCTCCATAGTCTGGTTCATCAAGTCGTTCTTTAATGAATTTTACAGCTTCCTCATTAGTGAAAGTATCCCATAGGCCATCAGATGCAAGTACCAGGAACATGGGCTTATGATCATCAAGGTTGAAGGTGAGAATGTCTGGGTCGGCAATGACAAACTTCTTATCTTTGAGGGGATAGTCTCCCATTGCACGTGAAGTGGCCAAGATGCCAGCTACACGCCACACTCCATTGAATGCTATGTAACCACCAGCAGCTTCAATCCGTTTTTGTTCTCGCACCTGAAAATTGGCATGAAATTTTTATGTGCCATAAAGTCAGTCAAAGACATTTTTGTAATGTTATAATTGAGGAGCATAAGAACAAAAACCAATAATTTATGATTCTAATTTCTTCTTTCTTCAGATCCTTGCATTTTAAACATATTTTTAAGGAGGATTAAGCGGTTACTGAATAGGTTAGATAAATTATTCATAGAAACATACAAATATTTGGCATTAAAAAAAAGAACAACTTAAAATGTGTGTTAAAATCAGTTTTTGTTCTGATGCACCTCAATTACGAACTGAAACTTTGCAAATTACATTTCGTCAATTTACATGCATTAAAAAGTTTTAAATACAGGTTTAATTCATAAAAAAGTATGTTTACGTGTATAGTAACACGTAAAGAAATATACCTGTTGAGGTTTGTGGTCAAAAGATACGGGGATTGCATTACCACGGGAGTCACACATAACTCCCCTAGAGTCTCCAACATTAGCAACAATAAGGTTTCTTCCTTCCATCACAGCAATCAGTGCAGTTGTACCAGCTACATTCATGGATCTTTTGGCAGCCTCCACCAACAATCTGTCAGCAGCTAGCACCTCATCAGTTAGCAGCTTACCATAGTTTATTTTGCCCTTATCCATATAACTTGACAATGGCACCAGTACTGGCTTAACCGGTGCTGCAGTTGGTCTCACTTCCCTAGTGATTGGTCGGGCTTTAGACAGTTGAGCCAGCAGTTGTGGATCAGTGATTTCTTTCTTAGAGGTATCATCAGCAGTGCCTGCAGATTTTTTAAAACTTGGTTTTTTCTCAACAGTACCACCGCTTTCTTCTTTCTTTTTCTCTTCTAATTTCGCCTCATCTATAGCTGTCTCTTTAGATGGTGTCAGTTTACCTTCTTTAAAGGCACTTAACTCCACAATTTTGTTGTGAAGATTTTGTACAAGGTGATCTTTCGCATAGTTCGCGGCAAACTCCCCACCGTGTCCATCGAATATGGCAAATAATGAAATACCCGTGTTGTTGATGTTCTCGTTGATGATGAACCTGTCTTCCATGTGCAGTCTTCTACCTTTGATTGCGTAAACGGCGCTAAGCGTTCCTTTCTGCTCCCAGCTCTGCTTGTCCAATTCCGAGCCCTCCATGAACTTCATACGCTGCATGGCGCCCATAGGGCTCATGGCTTGAGAAAGCCTGCTCAGCAGCGTGCGACTCCATAGTTCGATTGTTTGAAGATACATGAAGCATATAATAATACCTACGGTGAACACTATTACTTCTGAACGTAGTAAATAAAGACGCACCATTTTCCATAAATAGCTCACAGGAGTATCAAAGGGGATATTGCTCGTAAAGCGAGACAAAATTTTCATTAAAGAAATGTATGTCTGGTATAGCACTCTATCTTCTAATTCGTCTTCCATGTCCTTGATAAAAATTTGTCGCTTTTACGTAGTATAATCGTTTTCCATAAAAAGTTAACGCGATAAAGAACGCTTTTTTTTAATTTACGTAGGTGTAAGATGTATAGCACCACACACAGGGTAGGTAGGTACATACATAGTATTTTGACATCTTTTGTTTGACGTTGACGTTTGACACGCCCACAGAGATATTACACTTTTTTATTTTTTTCCATGCATAAACAACAAAACAATATTTCTGCAGAGCACACAGAGTATTTTATACATACTAAGATTTTATCCGACGACTGACGACGCGCGTTAAAGCGATTCAAACGCGATGCAGTCGCAGCGAGTAAATATGCGTTAGCATCTAATAGTCTGTGGAGTTACTCCACTCACACACACATACATCTTTGCACACGTTTACAAATTCAGTGGCGGCGCCGTAAACGCGCGTCATATGCGCGTATGCGCGTCATATGCGCGTATACGCGCCGCAGAGGCACTGTAAACACGCGTATGTATAGCGTATTTGGATGGAAGAAACGTGGGGTCTCAGGATCGTATTCCAAAACTCTACTCAGTGCTCAAGTCAGGACTTGCGTATTATTTCAAGCAGTGGAAATCATACTCAAGTCCTTGCCAATAGGGTCGTATTTCCAGTGCTTGAAATCTAACACAAGTCCTGACTCGTAGGGTCGTATTTTAGAACTCTACTCAATTTCAAGCACTGGAAATACGACCGTAATATATTATATACATATAAATTTCGAGTGCTTTAAACCATACTCAAATCCTGACTTGAGCATTGAGTAGAGTTCTGGAATACGACCCTTTGAGTCGTATTCCAGAACACTACTCAATGCTCAAGCCAGGATTTAGAAGATTTAGAAGGGCTCAAGCACTGGAAATACGACCCTAATGGCAAGGACTTGAGTATGATTTTCAGTGCTCACTGCAATACTCAAGTCCTGACTTTCTGAGTTGAGTTCTGGAATACGATTATACGACATAGGACGGGACGCGCTATTAGCGTTATTTCTCGAACACGTTATGTCTCGAACCTCTTTTTGAGGGGCGGGGGTAGTACTACAAGCAAACAGGTGCATTCAAATGCAGTATTGAGTTGTGTCACTATGGTCTCATAAACAAAAATCGACAACACTAGCTTATTTTTACAAATGCACAGATAAAACACACATTCATGTCATGCCCGTACACAGAATTTCATCCTCTAAGGAATAGGCTTATAAAAATAAATCGATTCTCATGAATATACTAGAGACGGAAAGTTATCGATGTGACGGTATCGATATGTGTTATACGTACTGGTTAATCACGTATATGAAAAATATAATTTCACCCTTGGCTAGACTGGATATAGAGAATATCTTTTTGCAATTTTGTGAGTAGTGTAACAGTGGTATTGTTTTACGTGTATTTGCCAGAGGAGATTGTCCATTGACTTACCAATAAATGGATGACAATAAATACAATCCAAAGTCTAATCTAAAAACAGCGAAGAAATGGCCGGCTTTTCGCGGTCAGCGTTGGAGCCAATGACAACCATGGCCGAAGTTAACCTATACAAACGTAGTGACATGTATAGAAATATAAAAAAAACTAAAACATTCAATTGAAATTATAAAGTCATTGCAGTATTGCTTAATTTTGTTTGTCACAATTTAAAGGTCCAAAAATTATCCATATTCAGCCTCTACTGGAAATAACAAAATGCACCATATTTAGTTTCTAGCGAAAACTACTTGAACATAAGAGTGATGGAGAAGTCTTATTGTCAATGTCAATTAATTTTATAGTATTATTTTGAATTTTATACGAATCCACTTCAAGTAATAAGAATTGTGCAGATATATAGGTACAAACATAAAATACAAATATTATAAATGTGAAGATAGCTGTCTGTTTTGGTAGTTCTGACGTGCTGTAAGAAATATATCGATGTTTCGAATTTCTAGATTCCAACTAAACGTAAACTCAAAGTTGCTTAATCTCGAAAACCTATTTATAACAAAACCGTTATGCTTTCAGAGGATTTTGGTTGCTTATTACAAAGAAAAGATTAAGTTAGTTTGTTTTGTAATATTCCTAAAATAATCGAAAAAAATACATTTGGGATTACAAAATTTTAATCAAACATCCGAAAATACATTTCGGCCAAATGTATCGATCGGTGTGAAAGTAGTGTTAAAGTAGTGTGTCTTCTTCGCATCACGCGTCTGTTCATTTGGTCAAGTATTGCTTATTTGGCAGTAATTGTTTCGGACGGATGTCGGACGGAGATCGAGAGTAGACCCCCAGGGCCGTGCCCGGGACGAGGACGGGGCGTGCTAGTTTGTATGAACTGCGGGCCCGACCCGGCGTCGGCCCGGACAGGGACATGTGTGAACGAGTTCATACAAAATATATGCAACGATATTTTTTAGCCCCTGACGGAGCACGGCCTGTCCACGTCCCGGATATGTGTAGATAGACCTTTATTTTCCGGAATGAATAAGAAAAAAATACTATTAAATGGTCGTAAATGAATTTATTGTTTCTCAAAATATTCTCCGTTAGCGCTAATGCCTTTTTTCATACGAATGAACCAAATTTGAAAACATTTATGCCACTCCTCCGTGACAATCTCTGAAACGTATTTTTTATACTCTTCGACGCCTCTTCAGGTGATCAAAATCGTTGACTGCGTAGGTAACTGGTTCTTAATTTTTGGAAATAAATAAAAGTCACAAAGTGCCAGGTCGAGACTGTACGCGGGATGACTCATATGTTCAACGTTGTTCACTTTCAAAAATTCATTTGTCTGTCTGGCCGTGTGAGAACTGGCATATCGCCGTGCAAGATGATACGGCGTTTACGGTTATTTTTACGGAGTTTGTCAATAACTTCCGGCAAACAAATGGTCGTGTACCACGATTCTCCAAAGTAACAGTAGCTACGTGTCCAGTTTTATTAAAAAAAGAAGCAATCATCCGCTTAGAGGCTCATCTCGAAAGACCCATACTCTGGATTGATGCTTTGTTTTGAGATCGTAACTATAAATCCATGTGGCGTCACCTGTTACTATGGCCCACACCAAATTTGACGCCCCTTCGTTGAATCCGGTAAGCATGGCATTGCACCAAGTGACGCGTTCCGTTTTTTGAGTCTCACTGCCTCAGTCAAAGTGTGTGGGATCCACCGAGAGCACAGCTTTTTCACACCTAAATGTTTGTGTAGTATTGATTGTATTTGACTCATGCCTATGCCTAAAGATGCCCAAATCTCATAGTATGTCACATGCCTGTCTGTTTTGATCATACGGCGCACAGCATCGATGTTTCTGTTGTTCACGGCAATGGACGGGCGATCATCACGAAATTCGTGACTAATATTCACACGACCGCGTTTGAATTCTGCAAAACAGCTATAAATAGTCGTCTTGCACGGTGCTTCATCGCCAAAAGTAGTTTGAAGCCAAGCGAAGCTCCGCTGAGCTGTTAAATTACACTTAAAGTTGTAAAAAATTATAGTAGGTACTGTAATAGGGGTATAGCTCTAATGCATTGCCGGAAAATAATAAGGTCTCTTAAAATTGAGAGAATTGCGATGTGAAAATTTTTTATATTTTTATTTTGAAAAATCTGGTAAAGGGGAGAAGTATAATATAATTCAAGCTTTCAAATGATGAACACAAGCTTGCGAATTATGGAAAAGTTCCAATGAAGAGAACTCCGTTGGAAATTTTTTTATATATTTTTTACGAAACAATCACCAGAAAAGCGTAACAAAAGGTCGTAATTTATATTTTTACTTATTTAATATGGTTTTATAATTGATATCAGTGGAAAGTGCACGAAGAAAATATGTATGGTATGTCGGCACAAAAGTTTAATGGATTCAACGACGTTGACGAGTTTTTGAATCAATTTGAGACCATTAGTGTATTAAATAATTGGTCGGATGTGCAGAAGAAATACGTGTTTGCATTGTACTTATTTGGAGGGGCCTGCTCTACAATGGTACAGAACGTATTTTTCTTCATACATGACGTATGATGTGATTGCACAGAAGTTGAGAGAGGAATTTCCCTCACAAATAGATTACGCCCGTGAATTTTATTATAGGCGACAGGGGCCTAATGAATCGCTGATAAGTTATTTTTATAGTTTAAATGAGTTAGCGATGAAAGCGAATATTCAAGATGTTCAGTTTGTTAAGCATTTTTTGAAATCTTTGATACCCAATTTTAAATGGATGCTGGCTAGTAATTTGTATGTATCGAAAGAGGAGTTGAGGAAAACAATTATCCAAGTAGATGACATATTTAATCACAATTATAATGGAAGTAGACGAGATATTAATTTGCCAGCATACTGTCACATGGAGCATTCTCACTGTTGGCAAACACAGGATGTCTCTGCACCGATAAATTAGACCCGAGTCTAAGCAATCGGAATGTCAAGTGCCGCAAGCACCAGTTGTGCAGCAGGATACGCCAAGTCAAGGGTATTCTCGAGCACATAGTAGTGGATCTTCGCCGGGATCTCCTCAACGTGGTTGTCAGAAAAGAATGGAAGATCTTGACAATTAAGATTATTGATTTGTAACCCTAAACATGTAAAAAGTGAAATAAAGTATATTGTTAAGGATTATTCCAGTTTATATTATTAAAAAAGTACTTCTCGCAATGCATTAGAGCTATACCCCTATTACAGTACCAAAACTTTCACGAGTTAAAGCCATGGTGATGTAGACAACCAATTTCCAAAATGACGCCACAATGTAAAAACAAGTGACAGTCAGATGAAACAAACTGTATTCTACACCCAAATACTTCAATTTTCAAATGTTGTAATTACTTTTTAAATATTGTTTATGTAAGTGGCCAGTTCCGGAAACTTATAATGCACTAAAGGGCCGTATTCCAGAACTCTACTCAATGCTCAAGTCAGGATCTGAGTATGATTTCAAGCACTGGAAATACGACCCTAATGGCAAGGACTTGAGTATTGAGTAGAGTTCTGGAATACGACCCTTAGAGCGCGCCATGTGTAGTTGTAATTTAAGGGTCCTATTCAAGAACTCCACTCAATGCTCATGTCAGAACTTGAGTATGATTTAAAGCACTAGAAAGCATA